GATCCACCTGCCTCGGGCTCCCAGAGTGCTAGGATTACAGGCGTGAGCCAACGCGCCCAGCCAACATTTGAATTTTTTGACTTGAATTCTTTCAATTACAGCATTAACTACTTCTGTTTTATTTGACTCTTCCTTCTATCAATTAACAATCTGACTTAGTGGTCCCTATTTTAAAGATGAACAGAAATTATAATTCAGAGCTACTAAAATATCACCTCCATCTATATACCATCTCAACTGCAACAAAAAACATTTTAAAGCAAATTATTTATTCTTACTTGTCAGGAAAATGTGAAATAGAAGAAAGCAAGCCAAGAGAAACAGTTCAGACTACCACTCAGAAGCAAATAAAAGCTTTCAATAAAAACGTTTTAAAAATCCAAGAACAGATTATTACAGTAAAATTTACTATTTTGGATTAAATATTATAATCCTTCTCCTCCATTAAAGAATAAAAATAACTTTAAGATGTGCAGAATTCACAGAGAAAATTCTTTGATATTACCAAGTTGGATATTACCTCTATGAAAAATGACTTGAGTTCAGGAAGATGTTGAAATAGGTTTAGGGTTGAAGTGTCTGTTTTGGTCTGCTTCTGTACTGCTTCCTCTGCTGATAATCTAGGAGGGTGTGGTTCCTTAAAAATAATTTTAAGGAAAAATTATTCCCTATTTATATTAAAACATCTCTCACCGTGTTCCCTCATACCCACCGTGCTCTAGCTATAATGGATTACATACCATGCACTGTTGAAAACTCCAGGCCTAGGCTCAGACTATTCTCTCAGCTGAGTTACTGCCTTCTCCATTTCTACGGAAATTCCATTTCTACTTTAACATTTTTCTTAGTGATATCTCTCCTAAATTTCTAAGTCAGAATTAATTATTCTCTTTTATTATTTTCCTTGGCAAATTGTTTATATTTTATTTAGTACTCATTTATTTCTATTAATTTAATTCTATTAATATACTGGATTACATATAGTTGCTTATGGTCTGTCCTTCCCAACTAGGCTATAGGTATTTTAAAGACAGAGATAGTCTTATCCATTTTTGGATTTCCACAATAGAACAATATATTACATATGGTAGATGCTTAATAAATGTTTGGTAAAATTAAATGCATTATTCAAAATTCAAAATGCTTAATTCAGATGAATCTTTAATTCCTGAAAGAAGATCAAAATGTCAATATTATCAGAATCAAATTATAGATATTCCTGCATACTTTTCAAATAAATTATTTTTTGTCCTTAACTTTCATGTCAGAGACACAGAACACTATCACCTATATTGATAAGAAGAAATAACAAGTAAAATTAACATTCCAAGGCACAGTTAAAATGCAAAATAGAATTCTACCTGAAGGGAATTATTTCATCTCTACCACAAAATATTAGATTATAGCCAATAGACGTGACAGCTGTAAGTACTAAAATATTTAGCTCTTAATAAGTATTATTCACTTTATTTTAAATCGGAGGCTGATTTTTGTATAATTTTTTATGGTGATAAAAACAAATTAGCACTACTCATAAAATCAAAAGAAAGGTAAAGCTGATGCAAAAATATTATAGAAGAGTTCTGTTTTATTCTGTTACTTTGCCCTCTGGCTATACCGGAAGGTAAGGGATAAAGCATTAACTTCATATATGACTGTTCTGTTAAAAACCAATATTGAAAGTTCTAAGTAAACTGTTGCTAAGGAATAGTAACAATTATAAAGCTTAGCCTGATAAGTGAATCGACAGGGTACATCTGGAACCTAGAGCTTAGATACACTATTGCTGTAATAGCTGTGGAGATTTCAATTCAACAAATATTTACTGTGCACATACTATATGCAAGAAAGATACAAAGATGATTAAGAGAAGGTTGCTGCCTTTAACATATTTATAATTTAGTGAGGCAAATGGATAAGTACGCAACTGAGGCAGGTGTTATAATTAGGTCATAAATAAAGGCCCATAAGAACACAGAAAAGATCTAGTTTAACAAGGGTGTACATTTGCTAATTCAGAGGAAATCATGGTATGACAGAAAGGCTTTGGAGTTAGATGGTCATGCATATAAATCCTACCCTAGTTACTTTCTAGTTGTGTAAACTTAGAAAAAGTATTTAATTTCTCTAAGGCATTGTAGGGTAGGTATTACTTTCTGTGAGGGTTGGCTTCATCATCTAAAAAATGAGGCCAATTGGATATTTACTGTGAGGATCAGGTAAAGCACCTAACACAGGGATTGAATAAGAAAGTATCTACTTAATTATTGTATATGCCACATCTCTAAATTTATATGCTAACAAAGATCAAGACATCTTTGAAAACTAACATTAGATTAACTTCTATGAATCCAAACCTGTGTGCAATTAAGAAAATGATTTAACTTCAGATACTGGCATGGGGAAAGAAATATGTGGTAACATTTAATAATTTTATTCTACATTTTATATATTCTATGATTTGATTGTTAGGACTGGGTTTGGGCCCTGGATGGTAAGTGTCCTTTTGGGGCAGATGTCAGTTACTAGAACTTTTACATGTAGAACAAGTCCCAATATAAAGATAGTTTTAATGGCATACTCTAATTGGTACTCAGTTTTTTCTCTTGGAAATAATTAATATAAGGTGATTGGCTTTCTGAGTAAATAGAAATTCTTCTGTGACTTAGAGTAATTGGATATAGATGTATGGATTTTGACTTCAATATTTTGTTATTTCAAAATAGGAACAATCACTTAAAATTATTTATTTTTAAGTGAAAGTAATTTTTTCCAAATTCTAGATAATTCTGAAATAAAGTTTTATTTATTTATTTATTGAAATAAAGTTTTAAATCATTAAAATCCTTAAAAATACTGGTAGTACTACTCCTTCGCAATTCAATTCTAAGACTTAAGTTGTCAATAACTTCTATGATTTACCTTTAATAGCTGACAAGGTGTTTGCCCAAAATTATTAATCATCCCTTCTAAAGCTTTTCTTTCCTTCTCATCTGTTAAGGCATCTAGATCCACAGCTCCTGAAACCAGAAGTAGTCAATTTACTATAGAATGAAAACAAATCAGCAAGCCACATCACTGATTAGTCTATCACACTGATTAGCATACTTTCAACAAAATATTATTCCATTCTTCAATTTATTACATTGAAAAGAGGTAATTTTTCTTAAATCAGTAAATCTTGAAACATTAAATATGTATAAAAATAAATTCCATCCACTAATTAGAACTAAAATATTTTAAACACTCAAAAGTTAACAGGTACTCTGTAAAAGTTTCTCTTGGAAAAACATAAACTATACTCATACAATTGTTTTCTTCATGATAGTCAAGCTCAAACAAGAGCAATAACCACACAAAAATACTGCTTAAAGTTATTGCTTAAAACAAAGGTTGGGAAAAGTGATATTCTGGCTAACTGGCTATACTCAGCCACACCTAATATAGATTGTTACATGTCTAGTGATTGGCTAAACTAGGTAAGTCCAAGCTCCTAACCATGCAATACTACCTCCCTACAAACCTATAACCTGAATAGATATGGCATGGTAAAAATATGCTTATTTACCAAAAGTCTCTGACTCTATTCAAATTCACATAACTTTACAATAGTTACAATCTTTAGAATGATAAGTTCTACTTAAAAACTAGAAAAGAATTACTTTTTTATCCTTTTAAAGCCATCAGAAAATGTTCTTGATCCTGAGCTAAATGATGTCACCTTATTTATCATTTGAAGAGCTTATTATTTGTAACTCTAGAGGCCTTCTTTCAAAGTCTGCTAACAATTTAATACTAAATATTTAACGTAAGACCTGATTGAATAGGATACATATGCCAGAGATCAAAACTTTTATGGTACTAATAATTGACATTTATAATTAGATTTGCACATATACACTTAACTATTACAAAAAAATGCAATGGTCTCTTAATCTTTCAAATAGAAAGTTGTTGGTTTTGTTGTTGTTATTGAGACAGCGTCTCGCTCTGTCACCCATGCTGGAGTGTAGTGGTGCAATCACAGCTCAAAGGCTTGATTATAGCTCACTGGCTCAAGCGATCTTCCCACCTCAGCCTCCAGAGTAGCTGCGCTATAGGCACATGCCACCACGCCTAGCCAATTAGTTTATTTTTTGTAGAGACAAGTTCTCACTATGTTGCCCAGGCTGGCCTTGAACTCCTGGGCTCAAGAGATCCTCCTGCCTCAGCCTCCCAAAGTGCAGGGATTACAGGCATGAGCCACTGCACCTGGCCAGAAAAAGCTGTTTTTAAAATGTAACCTTTTTCATATTAAGTAAGCCCAAAATAATGTGTGTAAACATATGTTAAACAATAGTTTCTATCAAAATAAAGAGAAAAAGTATATAGGTTAATACCTTCATAACTGCAATAATAGAAAACATTGAGTGCCTCCACTGCAGCTGGCCCCCTCTGTTTATAGCCAAAAATCAGATCTATCCATTCATGAAGATGAGCAGAAACATATTCAGACTCCTAGAAAAGGAACAAATTTAATAATTAATACAGAGACACCTTCTAACTACACAATGTAAATGTAAATTCAGTTCTTTAAAATATAGCAAATTAAACATTTCCACACACAAATCTTTCTGGCTGTTAATAAAATTCTTTCAAAATCATGTTAAACGTTTATTCAATATCTACAACATATATTGACTATTCATATCTACTATAATGTAAATATATTTATTAATATCAACATATGCATTTAACTAATGGGTGAAGAGAATACAAATATGCTAATAACAGCCCAAATATCAAAAACAAAAGAGTTAAAGATAGCTGTGGAATGAATCTTTGTGGTAAAATTTCCACTAAAATATTTGTCTAGAAATTCAACTCAAGGGAAAAAGAAAAGCAAAGAAAAAGAAATTCAAGTCATGGCAATAATGAAACCACACTGGGGTGGAATAAATGGCTGCAAATCACTTTTCCCCACTGTACCCATACACCAAGAGGTGGATGGGGTGGCAGGCAGAGATCTCCTGGAGCCTGGTAGTGATAACTTAAAAGACAGTGGGGAAACTGTTATTGGATACAGGATAAAAAGGTACTTAGGGTTTAGTTGCACAAAAGACAGAAAGGATACCTAATGAACTCATGGATTTGGGTGTGAAGACTTCCAGACAGAACATTTTAAAGTGCCAATTGGCTTCTTTTAGCTGCCTGTGATAAAGTATGAGAAGAGTAAGAATTCAAAGGGAATTTTTCCATAGTAGCTGCCCATTTGGCCCAAAGCAGAGAACGGACTGTTTTGTAAAGTAATGTGGAATGGCTTTTGTCCAATAGAGCTGATACATAAGAAACCCATAAAGTTTTAAATAGAATTATATTAGTTCAGACTAAAAGAGAAATTGTTTGAAAATGAAGAGAGACCTTTGGCTTTCAACTTACTAAGAAAAAGGCTGACAAAGATACTGATGTAAAAAACAAAGGTCTTTTTGTATGGAAAAGAAAGAATGTTGTGGGGGGGGTAGCCAAATGCTCAAAGGTAGAACCAAGAGGCACTGAGAACCACTCTCAGGGAATAGGACTGCGCCCTAACAAAAGATCTGAGAACATGTCCCTACTAGAATTCATTTTTTTTGGTTAGAAATGGGGTCTTGCTTTGTTGCCCAGGTTGGAGTACAGTGGCACGATCATAGCTCACTGCGACCTACTGCAGTTCTGAATTGCTATAAACGAGAGACTGCTAGGAGCCTCCTGTTTTTCTCCCCCTTTTGAATGGGAGTGTCTGTTACAGTTGTGCCCTTGCACACCACTGTTGTTATATGGAGGCAGATAACTTGTCTCTTTAGTTCTGTCTTCATATCCAAGAGGAGCCACACCTGAGTAGTTTCAGCCACACATAGACTTGATTTAGATAATGAGGATCCTGGACTCTAGGCCTCAAGCCTTAATGAGGTGGGTAAGCAAACTACTACTTGTAGGTCAAGTCTGAGTTGCTGCCAGATTTGTAGATAAGTAGTAGAACACAGCCATATCCATTTGCTTTTGCCCTACAATGGCAGAACTGAGCAGCTGTGACACAGACCTTATGGCCAACAAAGCCAAAAAAAAAGTATTATATGACCCTTTACAGAAACAGTGTCAATTCCTGCCTTAATGAGATGAGACTCTGGGGAGGGGGGTGTCTTGAGAGGAAGTGAGTATATTTTGCATGTAGGAGGAATGAAAATTGTGATCAGAGGGCAGACTATATGGTGATTAAAGATAGTTGCAAATTCTTTCTCTTCACCACTGAGAGGTGAAGTTTACTTTCCCTCCTCTTGAATCTGGCATTGATACTGTTACTATTTAACCACTACAAAGTGGCAGAAGTGACACAATGACAGTTCAGAGCATTATTTAAGAAAGTGTGGGCAGGGCGCGGTGGCTCACGCCTGTAATCCTAGCACTCTGGGAGGCCAAGGCAGGCGGATCCTTTGAGCTCAGGAGTTCGAGACCGGCTTGAGCAAGAGCGAGACCCCCGTCTCTACTAAAAACGGAAAGAAATTAATCGGACAACTAAAAATA